AGCCGAAAATATCTTTGCCAGCAATGAAATCTGCTAAACATTTCTCTTGCTTCCGGCTTCAACCATCCATTTTCTTCCCTTCATCCATTTCTGGGTTGGGGGGGCGGCAGTCAGTGTTGCACAGATGATGCATGTACTCGTATTTATCCCCAAAAGAAATCCTATCCTACAACACCAGTTGGAAAGCACTACCCCCCACTGAAGCTCCAGCTTCAGTTTCTTGATATTTGGAGCCGAACCAGAACAGATTACTTTACTATTGCATTCTCCGCCATTGTCAAACTGGCGCAAACTCTTGACGTCAGCGACACCTACCTACAACACCCGCCTCTCCTGCTCGCTGATTGGTTGGATTGGATTCAACTGATGTACATTTAGACACTGGGACCAGACCCAGACGAATGTGAAGGGAAATAATAATTTACCAGAGTATACGGATGGCTAAGGCCAGGCTAGGTTAGATCTAGGTTGAAAGTAAAAATAAATACCAACACCTTCAGCTGTTTTTCTAATTTTTGTAGTTTTCATACTGAAATGTGGTCAATTCAGACGCAATTGACAGATTATTAAGTAAAGATTAATAGCAAGAGGTTGAGCTCCTTCGCGCTTAACGAATGCAGTGAAAATACATAGAAAACTGCTTGTTTTAAAAGTATTTTTGAGCGTCTTTTGAGTGATTCCTTGCCAATGCAGGAGGATAAAAGGTCAGTGAAGATCCAGGACATGACGATTTATGGACATTGGTCATCCCGCCCCTATGGACCAATGTTTGTTGTTATTGCATTTCCTTTGGTCGACTGCTGTTGTGATTTAGAGCTACACAAAAATAAATTGATTTGAATTGAATAAACACTTGAAAGCTACGTTTGGTCACGGACTGGCTGGAGATTTCTTAGGATTTTCAAGGAACATTCTTGTGCCAGTCATGGTGAGGCGAGATTTTCAAGAAGCGCCAAGGCCAATGATAAAGTACCATTTTTAAAGCTGTGATTGTAAATGTGCTTCTTTATGCCATTCAAGGTTGACTGTTATGCACTTGTGTCGGCTCTTCTGTATATTCTTCTGTCATCAGCATAGATTCCAGTTCCAAAGACGCAGTGGAGATGAAGGTCCTGTTGGGGCATAGCAAGAAATGACCCATAAAACCAGCAGGGAATGAGGAGAGGGCAATGATACAGTATGCTGCATAAACACCATGATGGATGGCTTTGGCTTTGGAGTGCAGTACATCACAGTGCATGACAAATATTCACATGCTTTTCCACAGAGGACGTCCATTTTCAAGCTGGGGTACGGCATTTCCAAACCACAAAATGTGAAACGAGATACAGGCATAGCACTACTTCCTAAAGCTCTCATACCAGTTTGGTAGATATCTATTTTTCACATGCATGTATTTCCTGCCCTCGCGGCACAGCGCTGGATGATATTTGTATATGTCATGTCATGTCATTTTCTACCCTGTTTTTTATTTCATTTCTGGGTCGGGGGGTGGCAATCAGAGCTGCCACCCAAGTCTCAATGCACCAGTCCCTCGCTGATCCTCCTGCAGGTGGTGAGTCCACAGGATGATGGCTTCTCCGTGATCAAAGACATGGCCTTGGTGTTTCAGCAGGGGCTTCAGGCAATGTGGGGTTAAGTGTCTTGCCCAGGGACACAACAACAGCTGACATCAATGGGAGCAGATGACATGGGTCGTGGTGGATTCAAACCCACGACCATTAAGCCTAGTGTACATCGACAGAGTAACTGGAGACAACTAGTTGCAAGGCGGCTTTTGGTAACTGAGAGGAGATGATGGAGATGATCAGTTGCTGAAATTGGTCGATGTGCGCGCTCTTACAACTGGAGAAAAACAGTCAATCTCCGGATTCAGTCAGTTGCCCGTGTTCTACTTTTCGGCAACTAGTTCCTCAGATCCGGAGATATCACCCGATGTGCGCGCTCCGTGGCGCCCTCCAACAA